TGTGAATCAATCAATTAGTTTTTATTGCAGAGATTTAATCACAAATAATTAGAGTTAATTATATATTATTACTTCACATTTGATTAATATTGTGATAAGCTTTCTAATTGGTATCCAAGATATGATTTTCAATAAGAGCAAAATGTAATTAATAACGATAAACTAATTAATAAGTTAATAATTAATAATATTGTAGCTGAATGTACTTTGTATAGCTTGCTATGAAAAATAAATACAAAAAAAAAAAAAAAAAAAAAAATTAATAATATCGCCAATTTAACTTTCATCAATTAAGAATTATTTTTTTGTTTAGACTTGTATGGAATATTTCTACTTTTCACATTTCTACTTACTAGTTTCCTCTTACTTTGTTAAAAAATTAACAACCTTCAATATGTTATATTGAATTTTCCATCTAATAAGCCTTTCTCTTAATATGATTTTAAAAATAATTTATTTTAAAATCTCAATAAATATATAAGTGAATTTATAAGTTTTTTTTATCTAGTAGCATAATATAGTAGAACTTTTTTTATTTGAAAATATTAAAAATTCAAAATCAATTGGTAACATGTCGATTGAAGATCATACTTACAAGTTATTTTTAAATACTCAAATATATTAAAAACCAATTATATCAAATTAATATGGGTATAAATTATCCTTTTTTTCAAATTAACTGTTCCTATAATAATAAATTTAAAACTTAAACCCGATAGTTGTCAAAATACCATTTTCATTTTCAAAAATAAATCAAAAGATTTGGCACTTAATAAAAAATTAACGACCTACATTTTTACTTAATATTGCATATTTAATTGTGAAATTAAATTGTTAAAAAAAATAAGGAAAGCGCAACATTTCTTTCTAGGAGAGCTGGGGGGCGCGGTAAACAAAAGGTTGGAATCCACTGCCTGATATAATTATCATACTTCCAATATTCTATTAAAAATTATTTTCTAATATATTAAAAACATAAAATAGATGGTCTCATTTACTATTTTTTTCATTCAAATAGTATAATATTATCAGAACTAGAATTGTCCACAACCCAAACTCTTTCCTCCTGCGAAGATCGTAAGATTTATGCATGTTTATAAAAGTTTTTCAGGGTGGCAAAGCAAGATTTATTTGTATATCTTTGTTGCCTGCAATCACAGCTATTTTGCAAAGTGTTCTTCATTGATAAAACTTTTTACCAACTTTTGTTTAGTTTCTTTTCGGCCACGAAGGATTCAAACTATTTGATAGCATATGTAAACCTTTATTCCCGAAAGAATATTTGTCTGATTTTGAGATACGAATTTGTTTTAGAAATGTCAAATATAAATCAAGTAATAAAAAGCATACGAAATCAGTGAAGTTGTAATATATTTGTATTTATAATTTTTTTTTTATTAATTTTACTCTTTACTTTTTATTATTATTTTTTTTTATAGACCTCGCTTACTTAGAGCTGACTTGGAGCATAGATTTTAAATAATGGTTCAAATAAGAATTCCTTTCACATATATACTCTCTGGTGTCTCACATGTGCAATGCTAATATATTAAAAATTTAAGAAAAGTATTATATAGTTAGATTACAAAATTTTAATATACATGCACCATCCAATTAGTTTGTTAAATATATCAATATTCTGTGACAGTAAATGGATTTTTTCCAGAGAATATATCGAAACGAACGTACATTATTATATACAATTTTTGACTACACAACAAAACAGTAAAAAATTAAATTTATTACTATTTAAATCAATCAATGGCAATTTGTTCAAAAATACAACAATAAAATGATTAATAATTCCATTCCTCTTTTACAATTGCGTAGGAATTACTTAAATTACTGCCCATAGAAATCCAAAGGGGTGCCCGACCTAGGTGCATATGTATACACAAATCTGGAAAAGACATAATAGGAATAGTGATTTCCCAAAAGGCACATAATAAACTCGACGTGTGCGACAAAATTGGTTGTATTGTAATATTTAAAAGCCAATAGCAAACTCGCAGAATGGAGCTTTTTAACATATAAAACATTTACAAATGAATATTTGAATATATAGTTTTGAAATTCAATAGAAGATTTTCTCTCAAATAAATTTATTCAGTGGGTATATATTTATGATCATACATTTTTAGGAAAATTAATGGCGTTAGATTTTGAATCGGTTTGAATGATTGAAAAAGCATTCGATTCTTATGGATAAGGGAGACCTGCTGATTTATTTATAGGAGAGGCAGGTCCAACTGTTTCGAAGATCAAGGGCACAGAGTGCAAAAAACTTCAATTTAGTTGAGTGAGAACGGAACCTCCGATTTGAATAATTAAAAAAAAATTACTTGAAAATTCAGTTATTTCAAATATATTCCAGATTCCAGATAATCGAAAAAATCAATTTTAAAAAAATATTAAATGTTAAGAAATTTTCCAAAGGTTAATTTTTAATTTATGATTTAATTGTTGTTTTTTTTTAAGTACTTTGTGATAATAAGGATTGATATCATTCGGAAATCTTGCATATATAGCTAATAACAAATTTCAATAATGTTGATTTTAAAAGTATCGTTTTGTTGAATTTGAAAGCAAAATCTTAAAAAAAAATCTTCAAAAAGGTCTATTTTTTGTGATTATTTATTTATATTTATTTTAATCAAGCGTTTTTAGCTAAATAAATTGAATTAATTTAGGTTGGTTATAACAATTTATGCAGAGATTTATGATAAATTTAGTTATATAGCTTAAATCTTACAATACATGAGTAATAACATTTTTTCAATAATGTTGATATTAACAGTATCGTTTTGTTGAGTTTAAGAAAAATCTAAATTTAAAAAATAAACGAATTTTTTAAAACTGTCTATTTTTTCAAAAATTTTTAGGGAATTGTTTCTAAAAATTCGGTGAATATTTGCATTTATTTTAATCATGCGTTGTTAGGAAAATAAATTAAATTAAATTCAGTCGCTTTTTTACAATTTATGCAGAGCTTTATGATATATTTAGTTCATTTATTTTTTATTTGAGAATATTTTAAAATAAAGATGCAACGCAATTGATTCCACTAGTGACCAAACCAATTATGTTTTAAATTTTTCTAATTGTAAGTATTATATTGAATTTTAATTATTATTATTAAGGCCAACGAAAAAGTAATAGCGTATGTTCGATTTTTAACCTAAACAGATTAGGTTCAATAAAGAAGCAAACGTTTTTATAACACATATTGGTGCTTTTTCCAAATTTACTTCACTCAGAAAATTGAGATGTATTTCGCAAAAACATTCTTTTATTCATTAATATTGGGATCTGTTAGTTATTTAGACTAGTTATTTTATTTATTTAGACTGTTACAGAGAACTTTTTTAATTTCAATCAATTACGTCAATTAAGTATGACAAGGCAATGTTTTATTACAGGACTATTACTAACATGTGTCAAAATCAATTTCAATTCTTTAGTATAAATAATTATGTATTATTATTTATGTCAGAATTCTCTAACTTTTACAATTTTATATTTACTACATTGACATTTATCACTTACTTTCTGTTACCCAACTCTGAATAATAAATAAGCCGCCATAAATTAATAGTAGAACTTTTCAAACTTTCGATTTATTGTATTGATAACATATCAAGTAGTTACAAAAAAGCTTGAATATTTTATTTCAACATAACCAACTAACTAACTTATCAACGAACTATCGACAGCTCGAGGAAAAGTTGAGCCAAAAGTTTTCTTCCGCTAAAGTTTTACTAATTATATAAATTGACTGAAAGCTCCTGATAAATTTTTAATCGACTTTTATTGTTTTGTTCAAAGATAGAAATACGTATACATTTGACACAGGTCTATAAAACTGGGACCATCGGTGCAAACTCACTTATAAAAGTTTCCTGTCTGAAAACAGTCGCCAACTGACTATAAATAATTCAATGAGGCAAACACTTCTGGATGAATGATTTAGTAACTGACACTATCGAAATTAAGTACTTATGATAAATTTATATTGAATATAAGAATTTACATTCAGTAATAAAAATTTATAAAAATTGAATCCTGGATAGATTTACATATTACTAGATTTGAGATTTGGGGAATATATTAATCATAATATGCCCTATGCCCTATTATATATTTTTTTACAGAAAAGTTTAATTTTTGATTTTTAATTGTAATTATTGTTCTATATTGAATACAATATGATAATTATTTTTAATATGATTAGGATATATTACAGTATATAAGAATCGATTTTCAAAGCTTTAAAAAAATGGTTCACGTACAAAAATTATTCTACCACAATTTTTCATTAATGTTGAAGTTAAAAGTATCTGGATTCTGAATTTTTTTTGTTCAAAATACATCATTGTATAAAACACAGAAAGGCACAGGGAAAGTACTGTATATATTGAGATAGACCATTTTGGCATTGGATTCGTTAGCTTTAATCATTATTAGTTTGTCTACCTCTTATTTAATTAAACATTAGGGTGGTCTTTAATATGGACATTTTCGAATTTCCTTGCTCCCAAGGGCTCAAATGGTTCTAAATTGATAAAAAACAATTCTCTCAAAGTTTTAGCTCTTAATATTGTTTTTTTAGATAGTGCACAATTCAATGAATGTTTTGTATGAAAATAGCATGAAAAATGTTTTAAAAATTTTAAAAATGTTTTTAGATATAATTTAGCAAATAAATGAATGAGTTTTATTCAAAATTTATCGCTAAGTTATACCTAAAAAAAATTTTTTTTTAAATTTTCAATATTTTTTCCATGCTATTTCCATACAAAGTTTGATTGAATTGCACACTATCTAAAAATTAATATTGAGCTAAAACTTTCAGAGAATTGTTTTTTATCAATATAGAACCATTTGAGCCCTTGGGAGCAAGGAAATTCGAAAATGTCCACATTAAGGACCACCCAATTAAACATATATTATTTTAGTAATAAAACTTCATAAATTTGTTTTAATCAATAAATTGGACATACCTATGATTGCATTGTTGGCAGGCAAAACATTCTAGATGGTAAACATTCGTCCTGGCTCTCATAACCATTTCAAAGGCAGGAATAACTTTATTACAAGCAGCACAGTAGCCTGTATTTCCAAATAATCTGAAAAAATTGAAAACAATACCATAAATAAAAACAAAATCTTTGTGCATATTGAAGTTCTTTATTTTATAAGAAAAATATTTCTATAGTTCATCACAAGGATCAGAATTGCTATTTTATCCTATATATTACTATAGAGATTTGATTTTAAGTGCATACATTTTTTTAATAATTATTGCAATATCTTGCAAGTTTATTATCAATTTTGAATTAGTTGAATTTTATTTACCTTAAATAATCCCTTTTACAAAGTATGAGATTTGCTTTGGTATATAAAGTTGATCCTACTTCTCCAAGTCTGCAATCACAGCAACCACATTTTAAACAATCTTCATGCCATAACAAATCCAAGGCCCTCAAAAGATACCTGAAAATGTAAAAAAAAAATTCAATTAATTAAAAATTAAAATGTATTAATAATAATAATTTTATAAAATATCTTGAAATGTTTGATGATATTCATATCGTAAATTTCTGGGTATGTGGTACTCCCAACTAGTACAAAAAAATGTTCCAAATTGTATCAAGTTTCCGAAATTAAAAACAAAACACTTCTGTCTAATATCTTATGATATCAATAAGCATACATAATCAAACAATCGTATTTCTAGAGTCTAAAAGCGTATTTAAAAGTGTTTACCATTGCTCAATAGAATTTAATATTGGCAGCCTAATCATGGGCCTTTAAAATCGGTACCTAATTTTAAGACATATTTAAAGTACACTATTTTCTTATCTATGACGTACACCATGTTATTTTATAGTTTTCATTTTTAATTACGCAAATTCTTCCAAATTTGGAGAAATTTTCGACAATTTGCCATATTTTGGTAATAAATAAAACATGACTTTTTAAAGACTATCAGACGGTTAATTTAGAAAAAGCATTTCAATTTAAATGCATCCATGATTTTGGTGTATCAATCAGCATATAAAAATTCAAAATTTTTAAATATAAAAATATATGAATATCAAGCCATTAAGTTGTAATAAGGACACGAGCTGGACATTGATAATAAATAACATAAATATAGAAGATTATATATTTATTTCTACTTAACTATTTCTTTCGATTTAATTTGATTTGATATCCTGATGATAACAAACTATTTAATGTTAAATTATAAATTAAAATTTTATAAATCAATACCATAAAATTAATTTTCCAACCAATTACTCTAAACTTTTCACAGCAAATATTTCTTATGGTTACGAAAAATGCAAGACAGGATATCCAATATAAATTTCAAAACTTCTACGTCGTATTTAATTAAAACACGTCCTTCCATTGTATCGTGATTTTTTCAGTCAATTTTTCTAATGATTCGATTATAACATTACCGAACAAAAGTTTCTGGCTAATTATCTCCCGGGGGAGAATTAAGTATCGGTTTACAAAAGCCTCCTCGGAGCGGGTACGGGTTTCTCGTTATATAGAAAAAGGTTAATAACTTCGAGGATTTGTCGAAATGATCGGTAAAGAAGAGAAAAAGATCGTTAAAAGTTTTTTCAGAAAAATATTTACTTAAGTTTTAATTTGGTGTGGGAACTGTTTAACACGATTTTGAAGTTGACATTAGGATTCTCAAAAATTATTGAGGACAAATGACACAAGGTTGTTACTTTTTGTATCTAGAAGTTAATAAAGGATCCTACTTTAGTGATTAAATATCATTTGATAGGTAAAGTATTTGGTAAAATTTCTCCAATTCAAAAAAATCTATTCGCAAAATTATTTCAAATATTTTTATTACTTATATATATTCATTACTTATAGATATTTGTAGTTGTCTCAGTTTTAATTGTAAGGGGTTTTCGAACTAAAAGCTACTTTATTTACCTAATACCAAATACAAATTTCATGAGCACGTTTATTTTTCAAAGATCATACCAAATATTCATCAGCAGAGTTGGAATACCTATTAATTTAATTTATCTCCTATATAGGGGCTATATAAAAAAATTGTCGAATCTAAGACTAGACTAATAATTCATATCAAAAAACACTTAAATAACGAAAATAAAGTGAACGTTTAATAAAGATATTTCTTACATGAGATAAAACAATAAAACTCGTATTAAAAATATAACAAAAAAAATCTAAAAAAAAATCAAAATGTGAAGAATGTGAAAAATAAAAATGAAGTCGGTATAAAATTTAATCAAAAAGCCCCATCTATTTTTTTTTAGCGAATATTAACTCTTGTTTTACCTTACTTAGTACCTATATATTAAAATGAAAAAAAAAACAATTGGTGATAAATATTTTTCAAATGTTGAAATAAATACTGGACAAATAATTTTGGAGTCTAATTAAATATTTTAAATTTTTAATCAGACTCCAAAATTATTATTAAATATTTAATAGAATGTTACTTGATCCACAACAATAATAATTCGCAGAATTTAATATCTCAACATTATTTAAATATAAATTGTAAGTAAATTAACGTTTTTGTAATTGCCATTTGGCATAACTAATATATTATAATTTTATATTATCAAATTAATTAAATTTTGACAAATTTTTAGGCATAATAATTTTGGCATTTAATAACAATTAATAACAATCTGGCACTTTACTTACGCTAAATTTAATTATTCTCAGTTTACATAAATATTAAATATCATAAAAAAATTAATTATTCTGCAACTGTCATATATATATAAATCATTCAATATTTCAATCTCTTCTCTGTTATATCTTGATTTTTATGTAATACTAAGGTCGGTTTTACATTTTTCTTACAGCGACTGTCGGGTCATCTAGTATAGATATATAAAATGAGAGTGTGTAATATATGTATTTCAGATAAGCATTAGTAAAAGGTATTAATTAAAATAGTACTTATGTGGTACATTATACGGGCATCAAGTACCAGTCCCTTAATCACGTCTAGACTCTATCCGTTAATTAAACATAAATCAACTATCATTAGCTTTTTTTCAATAAACAATTTTTTCGCTTCATTAGATGGTGTATTATTCATTAATTTATTATACAAGCTCTGAATCACTAAATTGTACTATTACAACACAGTTTCAAGAGGCTTAACTTGCAAAGAAATCTACGAACAATACTAAATGTATACGGTTTCAGAATGGCTCATTAAAAACTAACATCGTTAACAGAATGAACGCGTGGGGGTTGCATTTTATCTCGTACTCGTTTCGACGGTGTTAGTGGGGGTCGGTTGTGTGCGTTGTATCGCTTAATTACTATCCCATAATGCGATAATAGGGCTGTGGAAACGACAACATTTTGGAAAAAATTCGATCATTATTTTATTGGAATCTTGTATGATATTTGCGAGCGGAGAACAGTGTTGTTTATTTTTATTACCAGTTATATCCGAGCATTGATTCTATAACTACTCTATAAATAATGAAATTTACCAAAGTGTAATGAATACGAAATGGTTTCTGATAAATCTATTTTAATATATTGACTATCCTAAAAAAGTATTATATAAACACTTCTTAAATAATTCCACACACAGGTTTACATGTTGAGTACGGAGTCAAGCTCTATGTCAGAAAGTTTTTAGTTTTAATTTGTTACTCTCCATAATTGAACGTATTTTACAATAAATAATTAAATTAATGTGTTAAAATGCTGCATTGATGAGATAAAGTAAAGCCTCGAGACGTTTGTAATGTAAATTTTTATAAAAAGTTAGTACAAACATAGTTTTGTGTGTCCATATGCACATAATTAACTTCCCGTAGGGTAAGTTATAGTAATCACAAAAAAAATCGAAAATTAAAATTTTTGCACATCTATTTAAAGGCTTCTGAACATTTTGGCACTCCTTAAAAAAAATGTGTGTGTGTATGTATGTATGTGTGGATACAATATTTCATCGACGTTTTCGAGAACACGGATCAACATATTTAAATGATTCGAAAAATATTCGGTTCCTATTGATAAGGACACGTGCAGATTAGTTATTTTTTGTTATTTTGTTTATTAGTTATTTTGATTAAACAAAGCGTCCAATTTGAATGATTCAAAAAACATTCTACTTGTATTGTCGATGTGAACAACTGACGAAGTTTTTGAGAAGGCAGATTTAGTTATCCGGAGATCCAATAAAAAATGTAAAAAACAAAGCCATTTGACGGTCAAAAATGATCATTAAACAAATGCAAAACATATTATCAGATATTTTATAGAGATTTTAATAAGTATAAATTTTGTGTACATTTACATGGGATCCGTACCAATGCTTACACGTTATACTACGACGCGGCGCTTACGCGTTTCGATATTTTGACCCTAAAAAATCTATGCAGCGCGATTGCTTTAAAAAAAGAGTTCAAAATTTTCAAAAAAAAACAAAATATAAAGAAAATTCAATTTTTTCAAGAAAATCTTTTTTTTTTTATTTCAACTTTGTAATTTAGATCTTTATGAAGTAAAGTTAGTGCAAAAATGGAGTATACGTTTTAACGTCGAACAGAAGGCTTCTTAGTAATTTTTTTAATGACAATGATAAATTAATAAACAATCGTAACCTTTAGTTAAAAAATTGAGAATTAATAGTTTAATTTATAAAATTAAATTATTAGCTAATAATAATAAACAATCGTAACCTTTAGTTAAAAAATTGAGAATTAATAGTTTAATTTATAAAATTAAATTATTAGCTAATAATACGTAGCAATTAACTATACCGTTTTTTTTTTGACTGTGCTTCATAAATGTAATTCTATTAGATTATCTTATATTATTAATATATCTCAGCTATGTAATATACTGCAAATTTAAAATTATTACAAAAATTATATTTATTAATACAGCTATATAAAAATTAATCTAAAGAATTTGAGTTATTAAATGAATCGATACTTTTCAGTATATTCACCCTATGTTAAAATAAATGGAATTCAAATCTATCAATGCAGAATAAACTTTAGCTTAATATTATAGTTTTGTAATATTATAACGATTTTTGGAACAAAGTCCAAATACACCAAAACTTATGAGAAACAAAATATACAAATTAACAAAAAATTCTTATAAATGCCTCTTATTAATCTTAACTACTATTGATTATAGCAAACTGTTAGTAGTTAGTATAAATACTAAAATGAACTATAACAGCTGTGAAATTTTCGATTTTGCTTGCACTATTCACATTTTTCTTACAAGAGTCCCCTACGGTCGAAAGCAGAGGCAATTAGTTAATGAGCTGTTTCTAGGAGGAATGAAATATATATATATATATATATATATATATATATATACTGTTAGTTACATATGTGTACGTATATTCCAGATATTAACTGGCCTGGATAAGTTTTCTATATATAGTAAAAAACATTATCCAGTATTGTATCCAGAAATAAATTAATTAGAACATTGCTTTTGCGAATCTAAGTTAATGTGCAGATAGAAAATGATCTATCTCACCTGTCCTGGATTTGCTTCCCGCACCCTGCACATTGTTGAGGAGCTCCGGGTGGCCCGGTCTCAGCTTTTGACACATCCATGGTCATCATCTGAAATTGAAAGAAATCGATAATAAAATAATATATAAAATAGTACTAAATTTCACACAAATAGTTAAATTTAAATAAATATTTTGCGGCGGGAATAGCTCACTCAGTAGCGTTTTCGACTCACACGCTGGAGGAATTCGGTTCGAATCTCCAGCAATACCAGAATTAAAATATAAAATAATAAAACTAGATTAAGAATTGTTAATTTGTAGGATACAAGAAAAAATGTATTAGAAGTAAGAAGGAAAAAAAAGAAGTTTAGTTTAGAAGATGAGAAGAACATATTGAGAAACAAGAAGAAGAATGAAAAATATTTAAAAAGAAAATTGAATGGAAGATTAGGATACCATAATTAGAAATTCACTGGGAATTTTACTGATTTTGAACTTGATTTTAAATTTTACTGGATTTTACATAGGAGTATGGTTGTTTTGTTCTTTTGGTTGTTTGATACGTGTTAGGTATTGAGATGTTTTATTTGGTTTAGTTTTGGTCCACTGCTGCTTGATTTCTAGCTGTCCGCAAAGGAATAGAAAGCTCTTATCACTGAGCCTCTTACGTAGCTCGCGAAATTAAATATTTCCATAAATATTAATCATGTTGGATTGATTAATTCAGTTTTATTGATTATTATTTATGATCTGGAAAATTGGAATTCTCGTAACTATGAAACAGTTGTGTTTTGAAAGAAATTCTAATTATGTGGTAAATTTGCGAATTGTCTTAATTAACTATTAACAACTTACTTACTACTAAGTTGTCCACAAACTTACTCTAATTGAAACCATTTCTATAAATATTTACAGTAAAATGATCGATTGCATAAAAAACGTGACACGAAAGCCAATGTTTATAAAAATCCCATTTAAATCGGAAACATTAGCAACTATGTTACATTGAACACTTTACCTCGTTTTAATGGTGTTGATTAAGACAACTCTCAGGAGAATTATTACAACGAGTTTTTCTCGATACGCAAATGGGTGATTAAAATTTATAGGCAATCCCAGATAGTGCCCCGAGTTAAATACAAACATATCATTCAAATGATATGTGTTCGACGTGTATATGTGCAAATATGTTCTATTCGAATAATGCTTAAATTGACTGCCCGTATGCTCTCGGATTGAACTATAATCGCTAAGAACAAACATTTGCAAATTTGCATATAAATGAATCTTGAATTGCATATTACTAGAGGTGATGGTGATTCACACGGATCATAAATAGATATACCCACATACACAAGCATTTTGATTGATGATACTTGTATTTGTCAAGAATTTTTGTTGCGATCCGAACAAGAATTTAGTTGTACATGATTCACTTTTTTCATTGATTGGTATTACATTTTAACTGCTAAAATATTCTTGTTGCTTTGTAATCACCATCGTATAGTGCACAAATAACTTGTGGAATGTGGATGGTAGCAAATCAGTACTTTTAGTAGTAATTTTTTAGTAGTAATGTTAAGAACATTATGCTATACGATAGCACAAGGAAATAGTATTAATCCCAACAGTCCTGAAAAAATGGCCGTAATATTTTAGTATGATCTATAAGACTATGGTATCTACCGTAAGAAAAAAATCGTAAAAATCGTCGAAACTTTTTTTTAACACTTTATTACAAGAAAACGGCTCGGCCGACTTTACCAAAAACTAAACAAGTCGATTCCCAACCAATATCTTTCGAATGGTTTTTGAATTTTCAAAATCTATTTAGAATTGCGGGCTAAAACGTGGGCGAAAAAATTTTCACTTTTCTGCTATTTACAAAGAAATTCAGAAATCAGAATTTTTGGCTGATCGTCGCGCAAAATTGATAAACGCTAGTCCTCATCGAGATACATCGAACTGCTTTTAAATTTTTGAAATCGGTCCAGCCATTTTTGAGAAAACGTCGATTTACGACAAAAAATCTGTTCACACACACGCGCACACAAACATACTTTTTACAAATTTGGTCCCATTTGATTCAGAATGGCTTGAAACGTCAAGAAAACAAAAAATTAACGAATCGGATTTTTTTATACTAACATAAACTTCTCCTTCAGGAAGTTATTAATAACGCCGTTGCACCAATTGTTCAGGAATTAAGACTTTTTATAGAACTATATAAATTTTAAAGATTGTTCTACTTTGAGAAGCTTTTCTTTGAAAAAAAAAATGCTGAAGTGTGTTGGCAAGTTTCATATAAAGTTGGCGCATTTAGTCAGGATTGTAAAGTGGTAAAATACTTTATAATTTCATTAACTCACCGTATAGTAAGTTATAGTAATAATTTAAATATCAAAAATGAAAATTTTTGCATCCTTTCACAGAAACTTCGGAGAGGCTTTCTTCGAACATTTTGGCACATTTTAGTAAAAATCGTCTGTTCGATTCAAAAGTTCTGGTGACTTGGTTGGAAAAATTCAATTCGTAATAATTGGAAGGCGTGATGATTAGTTTTTGATAAAGATAAGTCCAACCGTTTCAGAAAAAATGATAAAGAAAAAAATCTAATTTTTTAATTTAATTTTTCTTCACTAGATTCGTTTTATTTATTCTCTATTCAAGATTCTGATCTTGATTATTACTTTAGATAGATGTCCTGAAAATGGAACGTACTTATTTGAGAAACGTTGACATTAAATAAAATAAAATTGAAAAACTCTATGATTTTTTATTGCAATTGGATTGCTTATTCAAAGCTCTAGTATAAATATCAAATATAATAAATAACATCACTTAAATAAGCTATAATTAAAATTTTCCCATTGCATACTCTTTCTGTTCGATATTAACTTGAATTCATTAAACACATAAACTCTCAGAAAATAATAAAAAATCTAATATATGATGAAAATACGTGCTTAAACGTTGATATAGTGAATGGCTTCGACAGTAAAATACAAATCAACCCAAAAATAAAATCATTTTAATTTAGCCGCGGAACATCGCCAAACATAAACGGCAGTATATATATATATATATATATATATGTATATATATACATACTAATTTAATCGAATTGCTGACGAAGCATCGATTTTTCAGCAAGTCCCTTTCGTTTCGTTCGAAACGATACTTGATGATCGTCGACCCCCGTTCATATTTTTTGTTGTCAGAACTCCATCACCGATTTTAATTAGATATATTCACGTTTTCTTTATGAAATGAAAAAATACGTTAAACAAAATTGGATATGCGTATTTATCAACTCACAGAATTTAATTAAAAATAAACGCGAGCTCCGTCTCTTCATGAATACAATGCATTAAAAGTTTTTTTGTGGAGTGGCCGATTGGCGAGTATGGGGATAAAGGAGTCTCAGCGAAGGTTATAATAAAGCATTTGTTATTTAAGAAGAGGGTTGTTATGTTAATGCAACATTATAATAACAATAATGATATGATTTTGCTTCGATGTGATGATGTTTCTTTTAATACAATTTGATCGACAAAACTCGTTTCAATATATTCAGGACGCAAGAGGGTAAGGTTGTTTTCTTTCGATTCAATGAGGTATTGTGAGGTATGAGTGGTATTGATACCAAAACATGTTTATGTGTCGTTTAATTATATTTAATAAATATTATAAAGAATTCAAACTTTGAAATACAATTAGTGTCTCACGAAGGTATAAAAATATTATTACAAAATAATATATATTATAGAAAAAGTTTATATCACTTACCAACGCGCTTACTAACTAACTTACTTACTAACTATTACTGGTAAATTAATTAAACAAAATTAACTAAATGCGAAATATTCTTCTAATTTAGATAATTATTATTTTATCTGATCAAGTATTAAGCGTTTTAAATTAAACTAATTATGTTTACCACAATATTGTAAACAAGTCCACATAATATCTTTAGTGTTCTCCTTGCAAGTGAAATAAAAACATTCTAATTAAACGATCGTAAAATAATTATTATCTATACTAAAATAGATATTTAATTAAGGTTATGCAATGCGCTACAAATTAATCTAATACATGAATCATTGGTATCCAATTAAGCTAAAACCACTAATGAATCTGCTACTTCAGTGGCTATTAAGATTTTTTCAGAGCAATATTTAAGTCAAGTGGTTATAATGTATGTAAAATATAATTTTAATTAGACTAATAAAAGAATTAAATATAAAAATAATAAAATTACGTTAGTTAAACGATTTCGAAACAACCTTTTAGTTCTCAATATCAAAGAAGTAAAACCAGAAAGTTTTAATCAATTTGATCAATTGATGCAAATTTACTATCAATAGTGATAACAATTACATATATTAGCCGTGAGAATTTTTTAAACTGTCAAGATATACAGAAATATACTATTTTTCCAAGACATCAATAAATTTATTTTTGAATACTTATTTTCTGAATCATTAAGCACCTAAAACTATTTTACCAATATATTACCAATTTTCATATTTAACAGAACTGTATCGGATTGAATTAGATCAAATGCAGTTTTGTACAAATAATGTTATTTTATTAATATAAAAATATATTATTAAACCTTTGTTATGTCATAGTTACATATTTATACTTAATTCAGGCACCATAAATTGTAAATCACTTTTTCATCCAATTTTTACACTACTTATTTGTGTATTTCCCACCAATGCATATTATTTGTGTGAATTATTTATTATTATAATTGTGATCTATATTTTATGAATGAAAACGATAAGTATTATTAGCATAGATTAACATTTGAACTTTACACATTAAAATTTTATTTCGCTTCAGATCAAAAACTTAGATCAGGTTGAAAAATATTTGTATCAATTGAATCATGTAGTATTCAAGTATCTTATGAGATAATATTAATCATTTATAAATACTTGTTTTGAAAATTCGCAAGTATTGCGTTTAAAATGATATATCTATACATATTTGTATATATATATATATATATATATATATATATATATATATATATATATATATATAAATTCAAACTCAAAAGTTGTGATTAAAGATACGCATGAGCAAAAGTAAATACAT